ATATAAATTGAATTTGAATATTTTCTTATTGAAATATAAAACTTATAAATAAATAAAAATAGTCAAGTTTTGTTTTATAGAGATTTTTTATTTTTCACATTCTCTTTAAGATTTAGAACAACTTATTCGTATTTTCGAAAATAAGAGATCGTCATAGATATTTGGATATGAAATTGTATGATTCTAATCTAACATAATCTGCTCATGAGTAAAATCAAATTTTATCTTCTTTTTTTAATCAATTTAAAAAAAAAGTCTCTTGAACTATTATAACAACCAAATTAAACCTTACATAATCATGTTTTGTAACGTTATATAATTACTTCTATTGTTTCACATCACCACAAAAAAAAAATGTTATATGTGGAAATAGGACAACCACAAGTGAACTCAACATCAGAAGTCGATTTGTAACTCTCACACGCAGTCATCTCCCATTACTTTTTTCGGAAACTCGAACGAAATATACATATATCATTTTCTATTACTCTCATTGAGAGCTAAAATGAAGTATACATGTGTCACTTCTCATTAATCTCCTCGAGAGTCCTAACGAAATACACGTTCGATACAATTACAATATTACCTTTCACATAAACACACATTTAGGTTTCCAAATACATTTACGTTTTTAAACAAACATATATTAACATGTTATCATAATCATACTAAATAATATATACTCCCCAATTTAGACTCATAAAATACACATCACATACAAAAGAAAAAATAAGAATATAAATTTCCCTACATCACATTCTTCACTTTTCCTTAATTTGACGTGTTTTCTATTAAAACCTCCCCTACACTTTTTCTTCCATATATTTATAGACCTAAATTTAAAAGAAAAATATAACATTTTAGGTTTAATATCTCTTTTGGTCCCTAGAAAGGGGGCCAATGTTCAATGTGGTCCCACCTTTTTTTAGAAGTTCAATGTGATCCCATCTTTTGTAAAAAGCGTGCAATCAAGTCCTTTTTGGAAACGGTGTTAAGTTTTTAACGGAGCAGCTGACAGGGTGGACTGAAGTTAGCTACGTGGCTTTGTGTGGGTAATACGTGGCTGAGAGAGGGTCATACGTGGCTGTGAGAAGGTAAATCAGAAGTTAGGGTTTGAGTTGCAGAGAAATTGGGATTTATCGTCGTGTTTCTTCTGAAGGGTGTTCGTCTCACCTTGCAGAGAAGTTGTAATTAGCGTCATTACCCATTGGAATAGCTTTAGGAGACCAGGAAACGCAAGAAATGTCACCTTCAAATGAAAACAATAATCAAGGACAGGAAGATCACAAATAGAAAATTACTTTATATGTTGCAAGGGAACAACTAAAAGAGTTGATGATTGGACATACTGTCATGGGCTTTCTCAGCTGTATCCAAAACCTTTCCAGTATCAACAGATAACCACTGCAATGTGGAACCATGGGTAGCAGCCAAAATTTTTCCATCCGGGGAAATACTAAGGCGGTCATAGTGCAAAGTAGCACCAGAAGAATCGCGAAGAGGAATAGGGAACACCTTCAGTGTCTTAGGATCCTCATCAAAGTGATATCGAACTTCAGAATACAAGGAAAATAAGGTGAGATGAATTGAATTAATTAACAACCTAGTCCTTAAGACAGCACATATGAACATTTGGATAAGAACCCTACTTGCCCAAACCCCATGGAGGAAATAATACCATTGACTGATCAAATAACAAACCCATTTATCAGGTCAAATAAATTAACACGCACAAAAGAAAACATGTCCGTTTTCAGCCATAGAATCTCATCAAAGTGCTGTTTTGAATTCTTTACTAATAGCATGAGGCATGACCAAATATTCTTGTCTACAATCTTTAAAAGTATTTGCAACTGCAGTCGACATCAAGAGTTTGCTAGAAAAATAAAACCAATTATATAAGTAAAAAAAATAATCATCTTTCAGAATGTGCTCACCATTGATATTCCATATTCTCATTGTACCATCCTTGGATGCAGTGATTATTTGCTCAGAATTCGGTGTAAAGCATAACCAAGTCACAGCACTCTGACACACAAGTAATAAACATATAATCATAATAGTCAATATTTAAATGCAGGCATGCCTTCATGAAAATTGTTCATGCAAATCATGCTCATGAAATTTCCATTGACCCAAGATATTCTAATATAATACATGAAATATAAGACTACTGCATAAAAAGTATATGAAAATTAATCTACAGTGTACCTTTTATATAAACAGAGTAGCAATGCATTATAGAAGGAAAAAAATCATCTTTGAATTTTTTGGCTTAAAAGTCTATATAAGTATAAATGGGAGATCAAATTAAATTTTAAGTCACCCCAAATAATAATGCTAACCTTATGCCCCTTGAGCTGCATAACATTTAAAACTTCCTTGGCAGATCCATCCTTCGCATAAACAATCTCCCAGACCTGCCAAACATTGTAAACAAGAAAAAATGGAGAATACATAAAGATATGTTTAAAAACAGAAGCAATAACATTCTAATAAACGTTGCCAATCAAAAAATATAATACAAAGCATAGTAATGAATAATGGTGTATTGCGAAGCTCCCTGAGGTCATCTAACAAATTGTTAGACAACTGTATTCTATTCATGTCAAAGACAAATTACAAGTGATTGCAATATTATATTTAATTTGATTTATTCTGGCTTTCACAATTTGTATGGTGCAGTTTCAAGTGATATATACTTGCTGCTATCTTGGTTCTTGAATAGGCAAAGTTATTGACAGATTATAAACAAAAAAGACTTGATTAGTAATTTGATCCCTATATTTAAAATATGATTCACTTTGATTTATATATTTTTCTTTTTGACTCAATTGAGTCTCAATATGTTTTAAATAGAGTTAATTTGGTCCTTTCCATTAAATTAG